TTTTAAATATCATCAAGTGATCTTATGATAACGTATGCTGATTGTATGCTAATTGTATGCTAATTGTATGCTAATAATTTTTAATACGTATATCAAATTCAGATTCTAAAAAATACAGTATATATATGTAACGACAATGAGAATAATTCATAACGCATGTTGATGTAAGTCTCGTTCAAAGTCGTGTAACCGGCTAACATGCTTTCTCATTATATGCTGAGTATATGCTGATAAGGTAATCAATTGCGCCTTTCACAAATGAATAATAAAAATAAAAATTAAAATAAATAAAAAGTCCGTGCTCTAATGTCACAATAACAAACGAGACCGTGTAGTTGGGGAAAATTCTTATATCGGGGAAAGACGCGTATATGGAATTTGAGATTTGCAATGTCGAGTGAAACGTAGCATTACACGTTCTCTTTAAGAAAAAACACCGTTAGATTGAGAGATAAAAAGGGAGGTGGGCAAATATTGACGTACGAATTACATCATTTCATAAGTTAAGGATTAGATTCCGGTTAGAGTTTGTTTAATATCCCTGCAGACATGATTGGAGATGATGCAATGGCCGTATGCACCATACATATTTATAATCAAAATAATCAAAATCCATTATGGAAACAAAAAAAAAAAAAAAAAAAAAAAAAAATGTGACATGTGGGATATGTGGTAAATCCGATGTAGGTTCTTAAAGGCTATAGAAAAAAAAAGCAAGCGGATATTTATAAATGGTGCAGTATTGCAAACAATTTTCGTTGGACAAATAAGTGATCTCTTTGAGTCTAGTTTATATTTATTTTACATATTTAAGGTATAGATACACAAAATAATTTGATGAAACAGAAGAGAAAAAAAAAGTAAATAGGTACGCACATACGTACGCCAAATTCATTGTTGATAGGAGCAGATGTTTTCCAATTTTTATGTCGCATAATTGTTCAATGTCAATGTGCTATTCCTAAGGTAAGATTGGCCAGAGTTATAGCCCTATTTGTACTTGTTCAAAGAGAAGAACACGAGCCAATAAGGAATCCATCAACACTTCTTAAAAAAAAAATCGAGATATGGTTACACGAAATTATGATACTATAAATTATTGAATTGTTTGTAACATACGTAAATGCTGATTACGTATTCATTTTTATTGAAATAAATTTATAAAGAATTTTTATGCGTTCATTCAGCAGAAAAAAAATGCCTTTTTTGTAGATTTCTTGAGCATTCAATCTACCTGCTATGACAAATCGAATTTGAAATCGTAAATCAAGCTAATTTCCTGTTTACTTTGTATTTGTTCCTTTCATCCGAGATTGCTTTTGGAATTCTTGGAATTTCATAAATATCGAATATAGTAATTTTATACCCGATCTACCATAAATCATTGGCAATAACAGGTTTCTCTACGTATATCCAATTTATTATAATTGCCTTTAAATTGCCATTGTTTTTACATAAAATAATTTAATATTAATGGTGAGATATATAAATTAATTTAATATTAATGGTGTTATATATAAATTAATTTAATCAATAATAAAATTAAAATAAAATTAATAAAATTAAAATAAAATTAATAAAATTAAAATAGAATTAATAAAATTAAAATAGAATTAATAAAATTAAAATAGAATTAATAAAATTAATAAAACTAATAAAATTAATGAAATTAATAAAATTAATGAAATTAAAATAAAATTAATAAAATTAATGAAACTATATAACACAGAATAAACATAGTACGTACACAGTCGATTGAAATTAGAAAAACATTTAATATTTCCTTTTTTTACCGATTGCTCGGGAATTTCATTATATAATTATTTACAAATATTTAATGGTTAGTCTATTATTTATACAATTACATAAATGGTAAGAGTTGCATGTGTGGGGAAAAAATGTCGGGCAACTATCGGTTGGGCATTATGCGAGACAAGGGTTTTCAAATTCACTAACCAAATTTAATCAAAAAAGATTACATCCACCAGTTATTGGAAACTGGCTCGATGCTAATTCATTAGCATACATAAAAGAAATCATCTTTTGCTTATCAATGGATCCTGTTGCTTTGATTGTTTTGTATTACAAAGTGTGGAAATCGAGACCCTTTATTTAAGGTTTGTTTTTTTTTAATGCAACAAAGTCCATTCAAGTCGTTCAAAGTCATCCAAAGTCATTCAAATAGCCCATTTTTTACCGTGCATTTCTCATATTTGCCGATAAATATCTAAACTATGTTTTTTTTTTTTTTTTCGAACAATGAATACATCTAAATGATTTGTCTCAGCTTAGCAACGGCTGATTCCTTAAAAATAAACATTAACGCATCGAGAAAATCAACGAATACTATCACATCAAACCATCCATGTTTTTATTAACAGAAAATTTTTTTCTTATTTATTTTAAATGATTCAGTTTAATGCATATTTACACCTACTCGCATGTACAATAGTTTAAATTTAGTATTCGGTCCTTGCATTTATTTGATGCAGTTTTACTAACGCGAATCCTTGAAGATACTTTCTGCATTATATGCTCGTGGACCTAATCATTTCGTTATCACATATTATGTAATTTGAGTTTCAAAAAAAAAAGGCCCATATGCAAATAATAAAAAAGGCAAAGAAAGGATTATGAATAATGAACAATTTTATGTGGTGCAAAAACTATTGTGATGACTTTACTTACGAATGCTAAGTATACTGTATTAACTAATTAATTTAATACAGTAAACTAATTATATAACTTATTATAATTATCTTATATATAGTGTATATCAAAATTTTTTCGTGCGTAACTTTTTTTTGTTTCACGTCTCCGCATTGCGCAAGCAAATGGGTAAGTAATGCAACTGCAATTTAAAATATTATCAGTACCGAGTAAATTATAGAATATATCGTTTTAACACTTATAAAAAGGATGCACAAAATCTTTCTCCCAAGGTTATTCTTTTTTGCCACTTCTCCACAAAAGATGGTCTGAAAGGTGACTTAAAAGGTATCCTGAAAGGTGACCTGAAAGTCGACCTGAAGAGGTGGTGAAAAAGAAATTCCTTTTGTGTGAATTCTTTCCGGATGCTATTTTTTTTCCCAAATTTATCGTTAATTTATCATTAATTCTTTTCATGAATTTATCATGAATTTATCATTAATTTTATCATTAATTTTATTATTAATTTTTTATTAATGACCTTTATACCAATTGGTGTTCTTTTACTCAATGTTTCGTCTTTCTTTTATTCCTCGATTGTTGTTAAAACAGCTAGATGAAGTTCTTATTCATTGCCCTTTCCACCAGAAACCCTCTCTCTCCTTAATTATTATTTTTCTTTCTTTATCAAAAACTTATTGATAATGAATATCGAATGTAGTACTTCGTCGTCAAACAGTCAAATTTGTATTGGTTTCTTGGTAGGAGGCTCTCTTCTAGTCGCTTTTCTGGGAACTGCTGGGATTACACTGGCATGTCTTTATTATCGCAGAGAAAAAGGTTTGGGTGGTTCTCAGTCTGATAAAGAAAAGGTAATAAATATTATTATTTTTTATCGGATAAACTCTATTTTTGAAATGCATGCTTTTTTTTTGTGGGGTAATCACACGATCTTTAGTGCTATCAAATTTCAAATTATTAATATCGTTTTTTTTTTTTTTTTTCTATTTTGGACCATGAATCCTATCATTACATGTTGTACACCTGTTATTCTATTATTAAATTTTTTAGAATAAACCTTTTCTAGCGAACCCCCTTCGTTATCCTGATCAAGTGTTACACTTGTCTCGTCCCCCTTCCCCGAACACCTTTTCAAATTATCTACAGAATAATCGCATCATCCATCATTCTTTTAGTAATTCTGTATTGATGTCGCCTGCGTCTGAATCTTATGGCGATTCTTGGGACAATTATATAGCTTATATTAATATGATACCAGAGAGGCCTTTTGGTCTCCATTGTGAACTTGAAAAACGAGTATCATTATTTACAAAACAGACCCACGAATCAGAGTCGCTTGCGTCTGTCAATATCAGTAATACAAATAATACCAATATCAATAATAACACTAATGTTGATGATGATAAAATTTTTTGTGAAGAAACTGTAGATAAAAATCACGCTGAAACAACATTCACAATAAGCTAAAAAAAAAAACATTGATTAATATGAACACCAATTCTGGTCTAAGTTTTATGATAAATTATAGCATAGCATTATTATGATTTTATATATTTCCGGAAATTTTTTTAACGAGCATATACGTAAATAGTTTAACACTCTTTATTCGTTCACGTTAATTTATTTATTTATTTTTTATTTTTATAATGGGTCCATTCGAAACCAAAAAAAACAAACTTTCTCTTTTTTTAAACTGTGCTGCACAAGAAACAAACGCTTAGGCGTCCTTTTTATATATATATATATATATCATTTTAGCTAAAATGCGGATTTTTAGTTTAAACGGTTTATATGACAAAGAAATCTTCCAATAGTTCAATGTTAGTCGAATTCGAATTAAACTCGTAAAATATCATATATATCGTTAAAGAATCAAATATTATTTAAGCGACTTTTTCAAAAAGGAAGGAATTAATTTTTAAATTAAACCATCTTTAGAACCGAATATTTTTATCGAAATAAAACAACAAAGAAACGAAAAAAAACGAAGCTTAAAAAAAAAATAAAATACAATTTGATTTGTGTTTGGGTTTGGGTGTGTTTGAATGCGCTTGATTATGTTTTTGGTGTAGCATGAAATCATTACAGTATAAAGATTTACAAAGCATAATTTTAGATGAATGTCAATAGTGTATATCGTTACGAATATAAGATATGCATTCATTTTCAGAAAAAAAAAGCGTGTCGACTAATTTGGTTTACATTTTTCATATACATTATTCTTGAGAATAATTATTTCATTAAATATGGAGTTTAAAAAATATCAAATTCTCCTAAATAATCATCTTTACATAATCATGCATAATCATACAGAATTTTAAGAAATAGCATATATTCAGTAAGTAATCAGGAGTAGTTATATGTGTGTAATTTAAAGAATGCTATTCCTAAAGATACACGAGACAAAACTACTTGGCAAGTTTAGAAACTTGATGCAATGATGGATGATGAATGATAAATGATGACTTAATTTATTTACCCATAGCATGAATATAGCATGAATATAGCATGTATATAGCATGTATATAGCATGTATATAGCATGTATATAGCATGTATATAGCATATAGATGGTATGTAGATGGTATGTAGATAGCATGTATATAAATGCATTCACATGCCTTCGTAGATTAGATTCATGCATTTATGTTTGGAAAACTAAGTATTGTTCGGATTCTCCCTACAAATATTTGTGCCGTGTAACTTACTTTACTATGATATCAACTTCAAAATTCGCGTGTTGCAAACAAGCGATAGCTGTTTGTTAGTAAGGTGATCGCTGCATGAATGCGTACTCATGAACCCTGGCATTAGTTACGTACGTACGTTTTGGATACAGCAAGTGCATATATTACACACACGTCATTATTACGTATAATTGTTTTTTTTTTACTTTTACGACCATTTTTTAAGTTTATTTTATTTATAAAGAACTAGCACACTAGTGCAAATGTGTTATAGATTCATTCAAAAAATCCCTTCGTCCTAAGATCTATTTTTCCGCATTACGTCGATCATTTCTTGTTATTTCTTGTTGGATCAGGTGACGGACATTTCTCCGGGTGTAAAACGGACAATATTCGGTCTATATAAATTATTAAAAAAAAGTCATACATTACGTGATTCATCCATACTTCATTCTCTTATTTATATAAATGCCGCGTTACAATAAACATTATGTGAGCGCTTATAATATCACATGATATTCTGTATTTTGTTATTTTCCAATATATAAAGTTTTTTGTTCGATTTAAATAAAGTCTTGTTGCATAATCTTTTTTGCATAATCTTAATTTATTATTAATTGCTTTGTTATTCCTGCTATATGTTGTATATGTTGTATATGTTGTGTGCGTTTTATGTGTTGTATGTGTTGTATGTGTTGTATATGTTGTATGTGTTGTATGTGTTGTATATGTTATATGTGTTGCTATATGTTGCTATATGTATGCATAAACGAAACTATATTCACATATTTGTGAGTGATTTTCTGTTTAAAAGTCTTTTAACCGTATGCAGACACAAACAAACAAATTTCCTTGTTGATAAGAATTTGGCCTGCTGAAAACAGGAACAAATGTGATAATCACATTCACAAAAAGATCGAGCATGAATATTTAGTTTAAATGCAAATCCCTAAGTTTTTGTTTTAGTGAAGATAAACAAATAAAACTCTAAAATAATTGGTGAAATGTTTTCTGCATCCGATAATATTGTTATTATTCTTTCTACACCGATTATGCTACGTATTGTTCTTCGTTTCTTATAACTAAGGAAAAATTACTGCCTGCAACTCTCTGCAGTCATAACAATCTATTCTCGGGCAAATCCTGCTAATACCACCCCTTACCCTGGATGGTTACTCTGGATGGTCGTTGTTTAACAATTCATTCATTGTATTATGAAAAACTATTCTCGATAAAAATATTTTTGAAAAGACTGCATATCCCTGCACAATTTATTTATATACGATCGTGTTTTTTCTTTTTCTTGACTCACGTGTGTTGAAATTTTAATCATTCAAATCATGCATTGCAGTTAATAAATGTTAATGACAAAATAAAATGTCATCATTCGTAACACCGCATTTAGTGAAAAAGTTTATTA